AACCCTCCCAAAAACGGTAAAAAGGAATGTGAACAGGGGAACAATGTCTTTAAATTCTGTTCGGATGAACAAGGGGATAGGAGCGTCATGAAAAGGAATTTGGTTGGCATTTACATTCCCACTAATAGGAGCATTCACTCAGTGGACGTGAACTATTTTTACATTTTCAGAAGTCTGAAGGATTCCTTTAGAGGAAAATTGTTCTTCGAGATTTATTTTATCTTGCCGAACTGTATTTTCTATCTCTCGTTTGTTGAGAATTTTAAGGCGTTAATTTATTATGAAAAGGTTATTGCACACACGAGAATGGAAAATAAAAAGAGGGAGCTAAGTCTGCAAAAGAAAATGAAAAATAATTTGCTCCAAAAGGTGTACAGGCAAAGAAGAGCTAATTTAAAGAAGGGACTTAGGGAAGAATTGGAACGAATCCTTTCGCAGAAGAAGTACACAAAAGTAATTTATGAAGATGCTATTGAGTTGTGTTCCTTTTTTGCCAACTTTTTAAAAATCAATGCGTTTAATTTTATAGATTTGCACCATCTCTACCAGGATGTGATAGAACTATACGAGATCAACCTTTCAAAACGAAGTATCTTTTCGATTATTCCGATTTTGTTCCCGGGAATTTTTCACAGTTCGGTCGGCTGTGAATACAGGAGGGTGCTCTCCAGGCAGGGGATGCACTATACCAATGGGATGAATCGCTCAACCCAGCTCCTGAGTAAAGACGGAATAACCACTCCTTGGAAGGCAAAATATGGAAACACACTGAGATATGAGAGATCCCCGTCCCAATTACGTAAGGGTAAATTGCCAAACAGGGACAACCACGCGGATGAATTTTACAAATTGAAGAGAAAAATTATATCCATATGTAACAGCGCTGATGGTAGTAATCAGCTTCTTAACTTTGAAAAACACTTAATACACATTCTGTATATATTTCCATGCGCCCATAAATTATTGATAAAGTATAAGGACCTGGAGGGACACAACATCTGCTACAAAATAGACGGATTTGTGGACAAGTACAACTCGCTGAACAATTTTGGAGCTCCTTTGGTGAAGAGAAAAAATGCCAAACGGTCTTCCGATGAGGGGATAAGAAGAAGAAATAAAGTGATTCCTTCGGAGATGACCTCTCGTAGTTATCAACTGAATAGTGGTAGCCTTCTCAACTCCGTGTGCAACAATTTAAGCGGAAACGAAGAGGCCATATATAGCCACCCCCTAATTGTGGGCAAAAATATATATGCATACATATACGAGGTGAATAGGTGTAGCAGAAGTATATTTTTCCGCTTCAATTTAAACGCAAAAGATGTCCTCTTTCGAAATGTTCTATCCAATGAAGTCAAATCGATCTGTTGGGAGAGGAAAACAAATGGGAGCAAACATAACCGAGTATGGAAAAACATAAACGAGGGTCTCTTTTTAAGGAAGTCAAAAGTGCAAATAAGTAGGAACCAAAAATTGTACAATTATAAAAATAACATACTGACGGGGGTGTTGCACGATAAGGAAAATAATTTTCACTATTTTGACGATAAACGAGTTGGCGATGTGGTCCTTTGCACCATATGCGACATTTCGGTGTGCGGAAAATTTATTTATTTGCAAAGGTTCGACAAGGCAAATTTGATTTACCACTTCCGTAAGGAGAAATACGTTAATTTGGAAAAAAATTTTGACTATGACGATGTTAACAATTTGGATGAAAAAGTGTTACGGGAGCTTCTGTAAATTTTGTTCAGGGAGGGGGGGCTTGTTCTACACTTCTGTGTTGTCACTCTGTGTCCATTTCTTGTCCACTTATGTGCCCATTTGTGCAATGCCGCTATGCACATTTTTGGCTAAATTGGTGGTTATTTTATAGCACCAGATACGCTTGCCGTTTTTTTTTTTTTTTTTTTTTTGTGTAATTTTACCATTATTCCAAAATTTGAAAACCATTTTTTGAAGCCGCTCCCCATTTAATAGCACAGCTTTGCTACATACCATGCGGTGGCTATTCAAAAATGAATATATTTATTTGGGCAGATGATGCGAGTAATACACTCTTTGTAATAACTGGGTTTATAAAAATACAAAAAAAAAGGTACACAGATACGTACATGCTGCCATATGGACAGCAAAAGAATCAAAGACAAAACAGGTGGGTAAACAACATGGACAGTTGGTCATATGGCACAACAGGGGTGAAACTGAAAAAAACAGGCAAATGAAGTAAATTCAGTGGTAAGAAAAAAAAAAGGAAAAAATAATGGCGAAGAGGCTTCAAGGTGGATGCATCAAAGGTCTGCCCCCAAGACGACTTCGCTCAGTTGCTATCACATTTGCTCTATTTCACAAAATAAAGGGTGTTCACTAAAAAATTTAGTCTTAAATAGTTCGACGAGGGCAAAATTGGAGACATCCTCCCTGTTCACGCACCTGCATAGGTATGTATGGGGAGAAAAATGGATCCACCTCGTTATATGTGTATATCCTGGGTGATGTGTAGCCCCGTCCCATGGAATAATTAAAAAAGTTACTTTTTTGTTATTCTTTATTCGAATTAGGGTCTATTACGCCAAATTATTGAAGAACTGACCAACGCGACGATGTGTAGATTTAAATCCTCTTGGCTGGAAAACTTCCGCAGGTTGTGTTTAACATGTATGTATTGTGTACATATTTACACATGGGGAGGTATAACGTGCTTCAGGTTGTTCCCTTGCTCAGCTTCGCTGGGAGACGAGAAGAAGATTTTTTAATAAGTCTCCATTGTGCAATTATCTCTATGTTCATGGCCCCCCTTTTGCATGGCCTCATAGTTTTTTTTTTTTTTCTTGTTTTGTGACCTTTTAAAAGTCAAATGTGTCATCGTCAAGACCTATATCCTGCTGAAAATCGTTGTCATTGATGGACGGATCATTGTTGTTAAGGTTCTCACTGGGGTAACTGTTATAAGTGTTCGCGTGCTGATTACCCACATTTTCATTTGAGTAATCCATATTGTTGCCAAAGGAGTCGTACGAGCGCGGGCCGAAAATTTGATCTAACAATCGGTTGCTTAAAAAAAACCCACAACCATATATGAAGCTTTCATAGAAGGTGCTCAATAGCCCCCCACCTGCTCTAACAAGTTTGTTATTATCATTTTGCTGATTTACAATGCTGCTATTTGGCGTATACTTATTATACTGTGTTACGTTTTTATGTAAAACCTTCCGCACGCCCCTCTTGGGTGTATTATTATTTATAAATCTGGAAAACTTCCTTCTGAAAAATAGCATCTTGTTCAGTATGAAAGGGCTTTCATTTATTTGGGGGTTAGCATTAATTTTCTCTTTTACTTCAATGTATGTTTTGAGCAGGGTTGTTACGTTTGCTGGCAATTTTGCCTCGATATTTTATAGGTATCTAAAAGAAGGGAGTCAGTTTTTTTTTTTTCAATTTTGACTATATCTGTTTTTATTCGCCCAAAAATGAACAGGAAAAATAAAAAAAAAAACCGGCTCCTTTTAAAAGTTTATAATTAAATAAGAATGAGCTAAAAAGACATTTTAAACCATTTGGAATTTTTTCTCCTTATCTTTCTTCTTTCTTGCAAGAGCGTTTTTTAAAAAAGTTGAAGCTGCGATGAGCTTAAAAAGGTAAGGTGGTTTACATTTTGCCTATATATGTACTCCCTACTGAATTAAAAAAAAAAAAAAGAAAGATTTGTAGAAAGAACTGACAATACAACAGCATTATAAAACTTTTTTTTTTTTTTTTTAGTTTTATGGTGGAAAAAAATAAGAAAATCAGCGCGTTTGTCGAAATGAATAATTAAGCTAAGTGTCAATTTATTTTACGAAACTGTTTTGAGTGCGTATGCATTTTTTACAAACACATATGAGCATTTAATTTCACCCACATTGGGCGCACATAAAAGTGGTATTTATAAAAAGCACGTAAAAAATATGTGCATCGTTGGCGTGCCATTTGTGAGCGTAACAAGTGTATATATATGTGTTATATGCAATTGTGGGAACCTCCATGTGAGTGTAGATATAGTTTTATGACTTCTGTAGGTTCTTCTTCTGAAGAAGAAGGGTTAACGGTTACTTGCTTTGCCTTTAATTTTTTTTTTTGGGGGGTTTACTGCCCTTCGTTTTGTTACCATTCCTTTTGCTGTCCATTGCTCTGTTTCATTTTTCTATATTTTTATCATTGGAGATACACATAAATCAAGATCCAAAAGGAGTAAAAATGTGTAAACATGTTTTTTTTTAAGTAACACAAATTGATGAAGCTTTTTTGTTCAAGTGTAATGATGCGTATCTTCCTTCAAAAATTGTCAATTTTGAATGATTTTGTAAGCTGCTGATGGAAACCTCGTTGAAGGTTTTAACAAACTGAAGAAAAAAGAAAAAAAGGAAAAAGAAGAAAAAAAAAAAAGAATGGCAACCGGCGCATAAACGCATAAAATAAAGGTACCAACAGGTGAATACATAAAATTTCCCTTTGGAAAACCCCATTAAATGTTAATTGTGTTTGTAATTGTTTCACTTTTTAGTGGATTGATTTGCCCATTCGTGAGGTTAAGCGTAAGTCCCCACTTAAGTCTGTGCGTACGAAAGTGCATCAGCACACACAAAAACACGAAGATTATTCCCTTGTCAAAATTAGGGGCTTTCTGAGCGTGCTCCTACACCATTGTGGAAATTTTCCTCTTGCGCGTGTTCCCGAACATTGGAATGTCACGCATGGGTAGAGCGTTCATCTAACCATAGCAGGTCTTCACATTTTGGCGGCTGTGTCACCTCACCCTCACATATAGTGAGGATCAAAGGGAGCGAACGGAACAAACGGAACGAACAGAACGGATGTAGTAAAATAGCAAAATAGCACTCACCACTGGGTAAAGAGGACTAGGCGAGAAAGGTAGTTGTACTTCAAATGAACTGCTAAAAAGTTCCAAGAAAAAATTGGGGGAAAGACGTCAGCAAAAAAGACGATACCACAGCTATATAATGGATATTTGCATTAGCCATCTTTACAATAGACAAATCAGAAAGAATATATTGCAGGATGTTTTTTACAAATTAGAGAATTACGACAATGAAGAATTTTTAAGCTTCGACGTAAACTCAAGCGGGAGTCTTCTCGTGGCCGCGTCCAAGAGGTCCCTTTACTTTTTTCACATTTTAACGGGCACCTTACTACTGCAACATAGCTATTACGATGAAGATGAGAAGGAAGATTATCTGAAGCGGAATATTTTGGAGGAGGGTAAAATACATTCCAATACGTGCAGTGGGATGAATGATAGGGACAGCAGCATGAGTGGAAAACAAGAGGGGGTCAAAAGTCTCGGGGTCGATGAGGGGAATGAATATGACAATCAGATCGAGAATGAGAATAGTACGAGCGGAAACATTACAAGAAACGAAAAAATCAAAAGCGGTGAGTTTAGTAACATCCTGGATAACATTCACAGGAGGGAGGTTGGAAGTGCAAGCGGGGTTGGCAAACCGGCTGATGCTGAGCGCGCCAGCCATATTGACAGCGGTAATAATGTTGATCAAGCTAACTGTGTTGATCATGCGAACTATCTTGATGATGCCAAGCATATTGATGGCGCCAAACATATTGACCCCTTCGCCTTGTGCTACCACCTGGGGAACAACAAGGCCAGACGAAGCCCCAACTGTGACGAGGATCTGAAGACCACCAAAGAGGAAGAAGAGAGTGGCGCGACCCCAAATACAGCAATTCAAAATGGATACGGCATTCCCGAGAATTTTCTGACACAAAATGATTCCCTCTGTAACAATGACTCTGTAAAATCACATAAGAAGAGGATCTTTTCACCTAAGGGGGAGAAGTCGAAGAAAGTGAAAAAACGTTCGAGACAATCCCAGAGAAATCTGAGCAAAAGCGGAGAAAACATAACAAATTCAAGAAGCAGAAATAACGAAAGCAACAGTAGGAAAAGTGCAGACGATAAATTTGAAGATGAAGATTTACATATAATGAAAATACAATTTATAAAAAATGACAAGTATCTACTATGCTTATCGAAGAGATACTTGTACATTTTTAAAATCTGCCAATTTCCCATCACCAAAATAGTGTACATCGATTTGTTATATCTTTGCATTGGAATCGAAACGGTCATTTCAAAGAAGCTCTTTTTTCCTTGCTTTTTTTCTGAGTATTTTTATCTTCTTTATAAGGAAAATGAAATTAAACAAAGGGAAGACGGGAGTCTCCTGAACAATAGTAGTTTAAGTAACGATTTTTCGCAACACTTTGGGTCCAATTCTCACGTCTCTATAAATAAATGCGAGAAAATCTCTGAGTGCAGTAAAAATTATAAAGAAATAGAATCGCCCCCCCATGGAGGCTACCCACACGAAGCAACACCAATGAAGGGTCATTTAAGCCTTTTCAAAAATTATTATAAATTATACACAAGTTTGAACCTAAGGAAAATTAGAAAGTTTGAAATATGCGAAGTAAAGTGCGTGGATTTTAAGAAGAAAAGGCGCTCCTCCGGGGATGAAGCGGGGAACTTTTACGTCCTAGATCTTCTTTTGTGTCTGAAAGAGCAAATTCCGTACGTGTCAAGGGTGTATGTGGAGGAGATGAACTACCCAAGTGGCCAATACCGAACTACCCTGAGTGGTCAATACGCGACTTCCCAGCCTGACCTACATCCCCTTGCTCCCTGTGCAGAACGCATGAACGACTTCATCGTCGACGTTAATGAGACGCACCCCATCATCTCGTACGAACGGATGAACTTCACATTTCAGGAAATGGCCAGAGAGAGCTACTTCCATGCAAGGAGAGACATGTTTTATTCGAAGAGTAAGTCGAAGAATAAGAAAAAATATGTGAAGGGGGGTGGGTCGAAAAATTTGGATTATAACGAGGTCAATGGTGTGAGCAAGGTGGAGTGCTCCGAGGGGAGGCTAGGAGAGGCAATCCTTAGCGAAGCGGTGGTTGAGGGGGGGGGCGCCATAGATCTCGTTAGTGCAGTGACTACCCGAATGCCCAGCGGATTGCCCAGTGCAACGCCGAGCGAAGTTACAATAGGAGATGGCAAAACGGTGGACCCCGCGGAGATCTACCTCAGCAGCAGGAAAATTCTCGCCAGTGAGAGCCAAAGAGAGGGAGCAAGCGTCTGCGAAGAGAAGGACGAAGAAGCCATGCAATTGATCAAATTTTTCGAAAATTATGAAGATAGTCGGAAATTTTTAAAACAGATGCTGAGTGGATATTTCCCCATCTGTGTGTACAAAAAAAGGAGCAGCAGGAGGTCCAAGGAATTACCAACGACGTTGAATATATACGACAATTTGAATGTCCTTCTTAAAGGAGCTACTCTAAGGGGTAACATTCCCAGAGGGGAGGAGAAAAACGAGGAAATTTTCGAAAAGGAAAATGACTACTACATTTTTGACTACTCCGGGAGGGAAAAAACGGACTACTTTAATTTTCCTCACAGTTTGCTAAAAGATAAGAACAGCTTGAAAAACATCAATAAGCATAGGAACATAGACAAAGACAAGCATTACATATATGTGGGAACCCCTTCCTATATCCTCGCATTCGAAATGCACTACGTGAAACGGCGCACCACTTTGGACGAACAGGGAAACAAAGAAGCGGAGTCGCTAAAAAGGAATAACATAGTATATTCCAAAATTGAATGCATATCGGATGAAATTTACAGGACGTACGATAATTACTTAAGGGAGGTACAGGACAGAAATCTTCTTGAAGAAAATATAGAGTTAAGTTTTCTTTTTAAAATATACCTGGGGATAACGACACCGCTGGGTATTGCCATAAGGGAGAAGGGGAATCTACTCTGTGTAAGGACATCGGAAAAGGTGTTCTTGTACAAGGTTACCTACAAGTATAGTGTCCGCTGCATGGGAGGGGTTTCCTATTCGAATCAGATGTCTGTATCGGATGAGAAGAATTTCCTGCAGAAATGCACAACAGGGGGGGCGCCGTCCCAGTTGGAAAATAACATTACTGCCGGAACAGTGGTAAACAAGAGCTCTCCAACGCAAGGGGAAAAACACGATAATGTCTACAGCTACATCGATCGGATATGCCTCTATCACACAATTCATAATCCAATTCAGAAGGAAGTGTATGAGTTGTGCTGTTTCAGTGAAAACATTTACCAATCTTACCTGCTTGTTCTGTCGTTAAAGTCTGGGCAATATACACTATACATTTACGATTTGAAGCACATGGATTTACAGAATGCAGTTAAGGTAAATATCTCCGTTTACAAAGGATTCAAACAGATAAAGTGGATAAAATGTTATGACATGCTAGTGGGCCTTCCCAATATAGGGAGTTACCTACTAGTATTAAAAAACAAACACCTAAATAATTGGAGCTTCTTCATCTCCGACTTTGAATTGATAGATTCCAACATCGAAGTTATCGAGGAAGAAAACGAATTTGACATAATAGAAAATATTCAACCGAAACATAAAAATATAGATGATAATATTTGGAAGTATATTATTATTTACATAAATTTATTTATAAAGAATAAAATTAGCATTCAGAATTTAAGCCACCCATCGTCCATCTTTCCAATTCTATATACAGGGTATTATAAGAACAGCCCCATGTATTTTTTTTACAAATCCTGTTATGATTTTGGTAAAGACAATTTCCTCTGTTACGAGGTGGATGAGTCTACAGAGCAGGAGTCGCAGCAAGAGGGGAAATGGAGGAGGAAAAAAAAAAAAAAAAAAAAATGGAAAAAGGGAAAGAACAAGGGAACGAACAACGGAAAGAACAAGGGAACGAACAAGGGAAAGAAAAGGAAAAAGGAAAAAAAAACAAACAAATGGAGGAGAAAAGAAAGCGTTCATTTTTACGAATAAGGGAAGATGTGGATCATTATGTGGGTTCACCATTTCAGGAACCCGAGGAGGAGCCCGAAAACAATTTGTCCCTTAGGGACAACTCGAACGGCGTGGAGTTGCTCGCCCCTGAAATGGTTTATTATATATACTACAAAAATATAGTCAATTTTTCATTGTGAGGCATATAACACGGCTGCTCTCTACAGTTGGTACCTTGAGTGCATACCTCATTGCGTTTGAATGCGGCCCTACCAGTCGCGCCTATTTTTGGTGGTTTCCCCTTTTGAAGTAAATAGGCACGGACGTCAACAGGGCGTACTGCATTAGTTTAGGGAAGTTTCGTTGGCTGTACTGTATTCAAGTTGGCCCGCGTAGTAGGTGTGCATTGCGTTTGCTGGGCGGACTATCCGCTCGTATATGTTGGGTGATTACGATTACGTACCCTTTGACCCTTTCATGTGTCGCTTGATGTGCTCACGTTTCGATTCATGACATCACTTCACTTTGTTTATCATTCTACAAAAATGTAGTTTCACACGCCCGTTTTCACTCGTCTCGGTCGAAGTGGAAAGGGCTTTGCGAAACCATAATAAAATATCCAACCTTTTTAAATGCATTTCTGCACCTGGCTGATTGCTAGATTGGCTTTACTCATTGTGTCCTACCGTCAGCGCTTTTTTGAAAATAGATGCACAGCAATTTGTAATTAATTTGATGTATTTTGCCCTTGCATCTACAGCGTCTTTGGCTCGGATCTGCGCATGTTTGGCTGCACCCGCTACATGATAGACAGGCCCATAGGACACATTTGATTTAATGTCTGTGCAATATTGGCTTCCCTATTTTGTTTCCATTTGGAATTTTTTCTTTTTCTTTTTGATGATTTTTAATTCATGCTGGACAGTGCAGGTAAAAAGCACATCCGGCAGTGTCTTCCAAATTTTGATACAACCCTTCAGTGTGGAGGGAAAAGCTCATTCGAACTTAGATTTGGTTCGGGGGGAGAATAAACGATAAAACATAATTTTGAGGATGTTATCGGTGAAAAAACAAAGGAAAGAAAAAAAAAAAAAAATTTATACGTTAAAATGGGAAGCCACTTTGGAGAAGGGTGGAACTGTGGAGACTAGGTAAAAGGAGGTTCCACGTGTAACTACATATTACGTGGTGTTAAATCTTTGGGGCGCATAATGCATAATGTCCTTACCATTGCGATGGTGAGTGTGGGTCCTCATTTAGCCTCATCCCCCATCAGTTGGGAGTACGCGTCAGAAGTTAACGACCGGATAGTTGTATGTGATACTACTCTTGATGACATTGAACAAGTGGGAATTTTCAATCGCCGCTGCGATTCTTTCCTTGTCGTTCAGTTGTTTATTTATGGAATGTTCAGAATTGTGAGACCCTGGGAATATGTATATATTTATCTTGAAACAGTTCGATAGAGAGAATTGTAATTTTATACTTATCATTAAACCTATTAGTGTAGCTAGGGAACAGTTTGGAATGGTTGGAGTAAAATATACCGTTACATTCTTTTCCTGCAGATTTACATAAATGTTTTTCTTCTCAATAATTTTTAAATTTTCTAATGTGTAGGAGTATTCTGGGTCTTTTATGTCCCTTAGCATATCATAAATTTCGTCTACACTGATTTGATCTTCATCGTAGTTTAGGTTGCATAAGTCGCTTGGGTTATATAAGTGCTCCTTTATCGTTTTCTCGTTAAGGATATGGTGGTTTTCCTCATCTTCCTTGTAGTTGTACAACACGGGGTTTTCGTTTTCGGGTTTGTAGCTGTTCATTTTGGGTGGTCCTGTAGGCAGCGCGCGGAAAAGCCTCAGGAGGGTGGCCAATTTTGGCTTAACATATGAAGTGTGGCATATAGGTATGCTTATACGTACCCTCGTTGGTGCCGCTAATTCACCCCGCTTCACCCGTTTAAATGTCAGCAGGGCTTAACCGTTTACTTCACTCCCTTCTGCGGATCTGTCAATTCCGCATTTTCGACAAAATGAGATTGCTCGTCCAAGATTTTCTCTTTCGCTTCATATTCTGCGAGATTGAGACGCAGCGCTCGTAAAAAGGGGAAATAGAATTCATCGACTTGGAGGTGCTCCTCCCTAGCCGTATGATGCAAATTTGGAGGATTAAAAAAGAAATTTAATCAGCTTGGAGCTCCAGAAGAAGAGGAATGAAGCAATTTTCTTTTTTAAAAAAATTATCACTGTGTTTACCAGAAGAAAATTGAGATCCATGATTTTCTTAATCGTGGAAAAAGAAAAAAATAAATACATATGTATATGTACGCAAATGTGCACATTACAGCACAGCGTAAAATGTACCTTCCCCCAACGACGCGTCCCAACTTTTTCATAGCAAATTTAATTCATCAAAATTGGTTTAACCAGATGCAAGTGCGGGCCATATCAAGAGTGTTTGGCAGTCATGGAGGTAGAGTTGCATTAACAACAGAGAACGTGCTGATGTGGCGAAACTGGAAGTGAAAACGCACAAATGTGAAGCAATAACGAGAAAATGTGAGAACGAGGAAAAAAGAAGCTTCTCAAAGGGAAGCCTAATAAAATGCGCAAATGAGCTCCTTTTTGCAGTCTGCACAGAGTGACTTTCTTCACCATCCCCTAACCATTTGCATATAACAAGTTATGCATTTCTGTAAATGACGCGTGCTCAGGTATATGGCGTCGCGCTCATGTACGTACAGGTTCGCGGCCAGATGAGTGTGCTTTGTGTGATGTCATGTACCCCCCGTCTGTCCTTCCTTTCCCATCACACAATGCGTGATTTCATTTTACTTTGTATTTCTTTCAAGACGCTCATTTCGTACTGAGTAACGTAGCTCTCAGGTACCAGCTTAGAGTCGTGGTACTTCAAAATGACGGAATGCACGTGCTTATACTGGAAGAAATCTGCATTCGCACATTTAACCAATTGATCGAGCTTAGGCAAGTTACACAAATGGAGGTCTACATACTGATCGTAATAATTTATCCCATTTGCGAGAAAAATGTAGTAAAATCTGTGCCTTTTAGAGTGCACATTTTTTAGCTCTCTGTATAGATTCATGTACACAGAATTGCGGACATCACAGATGGGGTTACTGTCACTCTCGCTCTGAGATAAGTACTCCTCTACTTCTCTTTCCAAATTGGTTATATGCTGAATTATGGACTTTGAAATTGTGCTAAAGAATTTTTTTAAAGTGTTTACTACGTTTTGCGGTGCATCCCCAGGAAAGTTACCACTGCTGTTGCTGTTTCTAGGATCATCACTTTTCTTTCGTGTACTCGATTCTCGTATGTCCGATTTATTATTACTGACGAGGTTGGCTCCCAAGAATTTTGCATCTTTACGAGGGCATAAAACTTTGGCCTCCTTTTTCTGGTTCATCATGAATTCTTCTTTCCCTTTGGGGACTGGACCTCGGATGGGCACCCGCTGGTTTGTCCTTCCTTGGCTGCTACTTATGAGGGCAGATGGACTTCCTGGTGGGTTGTTCCTATTACAGGGGGCTACTACTGGTAGCACTTCACTACTAATCTGGTGGACAATTTCGATGTTATTTAGGTTAAAAATGTAATTTATTAAATTCCATAGCAGGTAGTGAACTACGACGGATACGACTCCGTCGCAGCAGAACGTTAATTTTCTTTTCGCATCATTCAGTATGTTAATGTATAAATTCATGAACTGGTTCATATGCGTTTGGAAATTTGTCTGTAAATTTGTCTCTAAGCCTGTCTGTAAATTTGTCTCTAAGCCTGTCTGTAAATTTGTCTCTAAGCTTGTCTGTAAATTTGTCTGTAAACTTGTCTGTAAATTTGTCCGTAAACTTGTCTGTAAATCTTTTCTTGTTCCGATGTTGTAACCGTCCGTTGCGTTCCTTCCCCCTCCGAGCGCACTACACGCGTCGTTAACCAACTTCACAACTTCACTGATGTAGTTACTGCTGTCTACAAGTTCATACAGCGAATCGCAATAGACTAAAATTCGCAGTTCATCCACGATGTGCAGTTTTTGCTCCAAGAAGGGGAGAAAGGAATCCCATTCGGCATCACTAGGGTGGTTACTCATAGTACTGCTGCGCTGGGTATTGTTCTTCTGGTTGGTTTCTCCATTTGGAATATGAATGCACCCGCTGAACGTTCCCACTTCGCCCTTTTTTTCTTCCGTTGGGACCCCCCCCGATGGCATTATTTCTTCTTTCAATTTGGTAACCAAGCAGTAAAACGACTCAATGGAAATTATCTTTTCCGAAATGGCGTAGTGACACGTCGAGCTGTAAATTTTGCAAAAGTTATTTAAGCTGAGAGGTGGACAGAAACCAGCCGTCACAATGCTACAATTTGTTACGTTGTATTTCTGTTGGAAAGGGTGATGGGAATTTTTGTGGGTATCCAGAAAGTGATAATTATCCGTATTATTTCGAATTTCTTGAGTGTAAAAAATTAAAAAGTTGTACAAATGTTTGTACTTTTCTTGTTTCTTTATAATAAAAAATAAGTTGTTTATGCCTAACCTGTCGTTGTATTTTTTTAAGTCAATGAGGAGTTCTTCCAAGGTTTCCCTTTTCATAAAATAGCAGCATAATATGTACATGTAAAAATCTATTACTTTTAAGATGTACTGTCTTATTTCATCCTTAAAATTGGGCAGCAGCTCTTCCAGCATTAAATAATTCTGCAGCACGCTGATGAGCATGCTGCTACTGTTTGATAAAACGATGTCAAAGTTAATAATATGGAAAATTTCCTTCTTATTCACCATTTTGTTCGTCTTGTTTAGGTAGGCCTCTTCGTTCGTTTCGTCTGAGTCACGGTTGTTCGTTTTTTTTTCCACTACGAATAGATCACTATCAAGGGTGGTGGATTTACTGAAACGGGTGTTATTCCTCGTATGATTACTCAATTTAGATGAGAGCCAATTTTCGCATGCTTGGGCGTTCCTATCCTCGGGGGGCAGGTCCGTCTCGGAACACAACTTCTCTTCTAGCCTTTTGAAGTTAAAAGTGATTAGGGGATTTTCCGAAAAGGGGACATTCAAAAAATCATAAAACGTTTTCTTATATAGCGATATAACGTGAAAAAAACGAAATTTCTTTTTAAGGATGAATTGATTTATCCCTGTAGGTATGCGAACCCAGTTGTCTTTATTAATGGCGTCATTTAATTTTTTCCCATTAAGGTAGAAAAAGTGGGGGAAATTATTTTTAATTTTTTTTTCCATTTCTTCAAAAATGAGATTACTTTTAAGCAGATCGTAGAAGAATTGGGTTCGTTTTTCCTCTTCTGCAAAGCGGAAAGGTGCACTTTCATTCAGAAAATATTCCCTGCATATTTGTTCTACATCTGGTTGGTAATTCTGCATTTCCGGTTGACCCTTCTCGCTCGATTTCTTATCTACAATATGAGCTGCCCGTGCGTGTGCTTCTTCTGTGCTACTTTGTCCATTTTGTGCCTTCCCAATTTTGACAAATTCTGTGCATTTAATTTTACTTCCCAGTTCGTGAGCATCTGGATAGGTTGGTAAGTCCCCTTCGGGTCTGTTAATAACTTTTCGCGCTTGTGTTTTTATGTGTGTCTGGTGGTGTTCCCGAATATTATCGTGGCTTTTTTCTTCATTGGACAGAATTGGAGGGTTGTCATTTTGTTGTCCCTCCCGTTGGCTCTCCGTTACGTCCCCATTTTGATCCTCCCCTTTGTGGTGCCCTTCCTTTGGAAGAATTCCACGCGGGTTATCCACCCCCAAATGGTATATGCAACTGTTGGATGAGTTCCTCTGGAAGAGAAAGGAATTCAGGCAAAACATAATGGTGACCACTGCAAACCGGAATATGTAATGAAAACCAAAGTTTTCAAATTTCATATGTTCGATAATCGTTTTGAGCACTTTCTCTATATTTCTTAGAAACTTATTTTTGGCACTTATCAGTTTATTCGCATTGTCTAGTGCGAAATACAGGAAAGCCTCGGAATGGTCATAATGGATGCTCCTAGCTTTTAAATATGATTCAAATTTTTCTTTAATTTTTTGGGAATATTCTGCAAAGGTGCAATTTTCAATGTCAACGTTTTTTACAGTATCAGTTATTTGGGGGGAACAACTGTTACCGTCGCTCATTTGATAAAATTTTGAGAAAGTAGAAAAGCGTTTCTCGTTTCTATATTCGTTGAACAGGTCATAGAAGCTGAAGTTATCAGGGTGGTCTCCTCCTTGGAGGGAATTTCCTTCCAAGGTGGCATCGTCCAGGCTGTGTCCTCTCTCTAAGGCCGCGTCGTCCTTCTCTATCGCGGAGTCGTCCTTCTCTATCGCGGAGTCGTCCTTCTCTATCGCGGAGTCGTTCTTCTCTAATTCGTTATCCTCAGAATGTTGGCTCCGTGGCTTGCCATTTCGATCAGGGGAATCTCTTGCAGAGGTGGCACTTCCCCGATTGGTGTGGTGCTTCGGAAAATCGCTCGCGGCAGATACTGTGTCGTTTTTATTGTTACCATTAAGTGAGATGGTATCCATCTTTATCCCTTTCCCACCGCCGCTAGATGCTTCATTTTTTGCATAATTTACTAAATAACTGATGATGGAGTCATACTTGTTCAGGACATCAAAGACAATTTGGTATATTTTAACAAGCGAAAGGAAGCATCCCTTTTCGTTTAATTTTTGTACCAACTCGTTAAGAGGAATAAACAGAAAATTGTCTTCTTCTTGAAGTTGGTTTATGTCACTTGGGAGTTTGTCCTTTGGGTTATTCTCATTTGGCGGGGAGTTATTATGTGTGTTTTTATTACTTCTCGTTTTTAACTCCTCTGCATTTTCGTATGTAACACTAATCACATCGTTTATATTATAAGCATTATGTGGGATACCCTGGGATGTTCCTTCTTTTTGGTTAGAATGTCCACTCTGAGCGAAGTTTTTCCCGTGGTTGGGGATTCTTTCATTCAGAATTTGATGCACACTTGTGTTATAGAATGGAGGAGTATTATTAATCCCCTGTTCGTGCGAATCACTCGTTTTTAATTCACAATGTTGTGCTTTTTTTTGTTTGTCTTCTGAGCAAAATAATTTTTTTTCTTTCTCAAGGTATTGTGCGGTGGAGTTATACATTTCTTCCCTTTTGAAGTGCTTACTATTTTGTGCTTCTTTTTCGGGGGCATCTCGGTGACTTCCTTTTTGTTTGCCTTCACTTTGGTTAGGTCTGCTTCCGCCGCCCTTTTTCCTTACAATTACTAAGGAAAAAATGACCTGCTTTGAAATTTTTCGAAAGCATTGATAGACATAAGCTAGCAAATTTTCGATAAAATTGGAGGTTTTTTTTTTAAAAAGGAAGAAATAAATTTTGAAGGCTTTTTCTAACTGTGTTTGTAAATTTTTATTCCCATTATTTGAAAATAAGAATTCGACAAAATTTATCTGATTTTTTTGCTTCAATCTGTTGAAATAATCTATCAAATTTTTTCCCTTCAAATGGTGTATACAGTTAAGGTGGTGGAGAAGTTTTCCATGTTTGTTCAAGAATTTGGCTAGCTCGAAGTAAATTAGGGATGCATACTCATAATCTTTTCTTAAAATATTTTTAAAAATTAATTTATCATATATGTGGATGATATATATGGTTAAAATTGTTAAGTTTATTTTCTGGAATTTTTCCCTTCTCGTCACAAGATTAACTATGTTTAGACTTTCCTTATATTTCTTGTCCTGCAGAAATTTCAACTCGCTCGTATTTTCTGCTACTAAGTTTTTAATATTTGATATGAAGACTTCAATGTCTTTAATCTTATTGGACATTGTGAGGAACTCTATGTATTTTGTTTCTAACTTTTTGTATATGACCGTTTCGATTTCTTTCCTTATAGAATTTAATTTGTTTATAATTTTCATTATTTCTTCCCCATTGTACACATCATGTACTTTGTCAATTTCCTGTTCAAAGACAAATTTTTCTCTTTCCTCATACGTGTGCTGCATGTCTATCTTGTCAGTGTAGAAGTAGTCTTTTTTGTCTCCCTGTTTTCTTCTTATCTCTCTGTGTGCTTTGTTTTTCTCTGCTTCTTTCTCGTTTTTCTTTAGGTTTTTCACTTCGTCCCCGATGATTTTTCTATCATTCGTGGTTACGGGGGGCAACTCGCGACGCTCATTGATGTTTCCTTCCCCCATCTGGAATTCACTGAGCGTCTTTTTCTTATACACCTCCGCATCATCATTAGAGTAGAAATAGAATTCATTTCCGGTGAGGTGATTTATGCTGTTGCTTCTGTCGAACATTAAATTTTGGTTCTTCGGGGTTTCATCACCAGCCATTTTATCAAGAACTTGTGCACGCGTGGTGGTACGTGCTGTTAGCCTGTTGGTGTGCGAACAGACGGTTATACAATAGGCTCATACACGTTTAGGGAAACCTCATATGTGTTATTTCCATCTGTTCATCTTCTGTGGAAGCCCCTGGGAGGGAAATGAAGATATACGTCGCGCAGGTTGGTCTTAAATCAGTTGATGGAGAAAAGTCAGCGGTGCAGCGAAAAAGGGTTGACGTTGGGGTGCATAAATCAAACGTAAGTCCCCGCTTTCGCGTCTGTTTTTCGCTTTCCCTTTTATAAAATCTCTTTTATGTATGGCAGTAGCGGTAGGGAAACCACTAAAAATGTACATAATGAAAAGAGGGTGGAAGAGAAGGAAAAATGTTCAGCTTCCATTTGGAAAATTCAAATGCCCCCATTTATCTGTTCATTCTTCTGATATGCAAAATGTATAACACATTGTTTACCTCCTCCTGCTCGGAATTATTTTTTCATATGTTACTCAATATAGCAGCTCTAAGAGAGCAAGCAACTGTGGAAACAACAAAGAAAAAATAAAATAAAAAAAAGAAAAATTTCGTGACAATTTAGCTAAAACGGAGTAGTAGGGCTTACAGACGGGGAATACTCATTCACCCACTTATTCTTGGGACAATTATGAAAGTAGCAGAAATGGGAGAACAATTTTTTTGAAAGCGAGTGGAAAAAGTACATACATACACGTACACTTCCAGAATGACTTATGCGTTATGAAAAATAAAACAGCATTCTATATACATCTTTTTAAAAAAAAAAAAAAAAAGAAATGTACCTCTTTAGAAGGTCCTTTGCCGCACATATGAGGAAAGTGAAAATACCTCTACACCTCTCCACAACAGGTAAATCTTTTTAAAAGCTTGTTCAAAGTTCAGTTTAATATTGAATGTTCTACTGTCATTTAGAGAAGCGACGAGAAGGACTTTCAAAGTACGTTTTATATTCAAAAAAATGGTAACCCATGTAAGGGGAACAATTATGTAAAAGTGGAGTTATTTTAAAAATCTCATTACAGAAGCTTTCTTTTTTTTCATCCTGTTTGTGAGTTGAGACTTATCGAGCGATTTTAAGGCTGCCAACCCAGCAAGGCAAATATCAGTAGTGCATATGGTAAACAGCTGGGAGGGAAAAGAAGCAGACTGTGGGAGCTATGGAACATTTCTTCACTTGAGAGAAATAACAAAGAAAGAAAAGGAAGGAATAAACTTACAAGATAATCTTTTCATCAGTCGCTGATATGCCGTCTCATCCTTTGGGAGATTAAGTTCATTCAAGTCGTACTCGCGCATGTAAATTAGGAGGAGTATATACGTATGTTGCAGTGTTCTCCTTGCTATTTTTGAGTGTTGCTATTTTAACCCGAGCATCTCACAATTTAACACCCCCAATTTGCGTCTTGCGCGGAACAGAGACTGCAGTGAACAGAGATTGCTCGGAACACATTTACATGCATACTTTACATTTCTGTTTAGTCTGCGGTAATGTTGCAAAGGAAGGTACTTAGCCGAAAAATTAACAATTAAAATTTTCTGTTGATGAAGTTTCCCCCTTTTTTTTTCTGCGAACTTTTTTTTTTTAAATAAACAGCCTTTGTGATATTATGAGACTGCCATCTTTGAAGCTAATTTTTATTCCTGTCTTGTTTGCAACATTTTGGAACAAGTTGAAATCTCAGGTAAGAAGGGAAACACCTTGAACCGGCTTCTGCGCACATGTAGATAGGGAATGCATATGTGTAAATACGATATAGTTTATATTTATTTTGCCACCATTTTTTGTATCATTCTATCAGAAGAACAAGGCAACTCAACCGTTAAATGAGATGCCGACTAATATGTCCGAAGAGGAGAAGGAAGAAATATATGAAGAGTTTGTGGAATATGATTTGAACAGAGATGGTGAGTTCATTTTATTAAGCATGTTCGACGTGCAAGCGTTGAACGATGTGGCACACTTTGAACATGCTCAAAAATGTGCACATCCACTTTTGTGGTTAAATTGTGCCATGCTAGAGGGCGTGAAGGTGTTATTATGCGGAAGGGACGAACAAATTGGCATAATTATTTTAAATCCACTTCTACCACCGTCCTTATTTGTTCCGTCACGAAGCGGCAATTCCAGTTGCGAGTAGATGCGGGTCTCCTGGTTTTGCGTGCATATGCAATACATGTGTGTGGGTGAGTGCGCATTTTGTGCACTCCTTTATGTAACGATGTGTTTTTTTTTCTTTCTAAGGACTAATCGACGCAGAAGAAATTATCTCAGTTCTGAAGAATATGAAAAAACCAGACTTTATAAAATTTTTCACCAGAGTAGACTCAGACTCCTCAGGAACGAGTAAGACGGCGGGGGTTATGTTTTACGTGTATGGGAATGTTTGCCTTTTGCAGAAATGCGCTCCTGCCTTATCATATAAGCATCTTATGTAATAATGTTTTTTTTTTTTTTACAGTTTCGTTCAGTGAATATATGATATTTGTGAATTCAAACTAAAACGTAGGGGAGGTAAAGGAGAAACACATCTCATGAGAACAGCAGGATTTTACAAAGCTGCGCAGTTCCTTCCATATCGTTTTAACCAAAGGGGAAAAGATTAGCTCATTCAGTGGCGAAGCTCGTTCATTCAAAGGACGCGTACAACCCTACCTGAGTACTGATACATGTATTAATCATGTTTGTGTCTCTGCCAGTGTCCATCGTGCGATTAATTAATTGTAAAATTTTGCGAATTTGAAAAATATGCAACGGAATAAAATCAAACAGAAGGCGACGCATTTAGACTGATGCCAAAGAAATGGGCCCTATAAGGAAGTACATATGATATAGATTCTTTTTTGGAGGAAATAAGATGTAAAGTTACAAAATTCCATATTTTTTTCATCATATGGATGAAATATAAAAGGTAAGGAGAAATTTTGAAGAAAGCGATTTAACAAAGGAGGGGGATGGTCCACTTTTCGCTATATCACCAGCTCGTTCAACTTTTGAATTAGAAATTCCCGTAGGAGTGCCCACAAGTTTTGCGGGGACATTTTTGACACTACAGATAATGCGGAATGGGATAAAATTTTACTTCCCAATCTCTGTAGCTTTACACGTGTTGGGGGACGAAAACAAGAACCTACTTTCGCTTAACGCGTTAAGCTTAACAATATTTTGTGACACTAAAATTTGTTATGAAAAAATGGGAACGGCGAAAAAAATGTTACAAATGGAACACATTATAATGTATGTTTTAACTCGCTTTCCTTAAAAGAAAAAGAACAAAATACACAAAGGGTAAAACGTGCGGGGAAGAAAAAACCTTTTTGATATGACGCAACTTCCACTTCTTTCCGTGTCAACTCCATGAGGAACAACACTTATATGAAAAGGGTGCAATTCGTTTTGTACATAGAGGATGAAGAGCAAAAGGAAAAATTCCTTTTTTCCTTGCGTGTACAGAAAAATGTACACATTTTTCACTTTATTTTCTAATAGGCACATCAAAACGTGTTAGACCATGTGCCCACTTGTTCATTTGTCGTCTAAAGGAGGTTAAATTTTCAACGCAAGTATTGTGCATCCGAATTTTAAGTTAATAAAGTTCGCCTGGATGATGAAACATTATCTCTCCATCATATGAACACTATAAAGTGAGGAAAAAACATGAACAGGAGAGAAAGTTTCTGAAGAATTTTTGAGGAGGGTTTGCTTTACGTCTTTATTCACATTTCTTTATACAGACGGAGTAAAAGTGGCTATTAAGATTTCTTTTTTAAACGTCCATGGAATAAATTTAGCCTCTGCAACGTTTAGCAGTAGTATTTATGAGCTATTTGTGAAGAGCACACCAAGGGAAAAAAGTTGCGCGTATGAGGTAGGAACCTAATTTAAAAAAGCTAAAAATAAGAGAAATCATTTGATTTAATAGTATGGCTTCAAAATCATATATAATATTTTGCTTCTTTTATACGTCATATATTTCAAATTTTGTATGAAGGTGCACAATTTTGCTTTTTCTTGAACCTCTGGCCTTATATTTGTGAGGAAAAAAAAATCCGATGAACCGGAATCGAACCGGTGACCAACAGATAACCATTACAACTACAGTCTGCCGCTCTACCAACTGAGCTATCATCGGTATGTTTATAATATATCCCCTCATACGTCATAATATGATTTGAAAGAATATCCTATGATCTAAGGTATTACTATCACGTGTAACACTCTCCTCGTATCGCTTTTTGTCGTTTTTATATATGGGGATCCTTTCTCTCGGTTTTTAGCCGTTCACATGTAAATGCCAATTTGGCGTAAAATTTCATTTGGAGATGGAAGAGTTCTTCCAAGATATCATTAAAGATGTATTAACCGGATAATGGTTTCTCTTTTTTTTTTTTAAATGTTTTAAACAATTTCCAATTGTGCGTATACATATTTGTACCTATTTGCATATAAATTAGCCTACCATGGCGTGGGACAAAAAGAATGGGTTATCCTCTTTGTCCCTATTTGCCACTTGGTGGGAGGGGGGATCCTTGCATATTTTTATGACCTCCGGGTTTAACCTTTTCTGTGGAGAAGATGTCAGCGGGTACTAGCGGCCATGGAGCAGCAATAGGGGTAAATAATTCGTTATGAACATTTTCATGTACTTCTTAGTTTTACATTCGAGTAATACTGATTAAGGGCGACTAGCTCAAGTGGTAGAGCGCTCGCTTAGCATGCGAGAGGTACGGGGATCGATACCCCGGTCGTCCAATTTTATTTGAAATATGGAAAAAAATTTAAATAAAATAACCTTAAAATTTTTTGATTCAATATAGTTATATATATTATAAATTTTAAACTAAGAGAATTTTTAATATAAATCAGGAAGCTTCATTTTTTACTTCTTGCTAGTTTTGCAGAAAAGAAAAAAACATGGAAAACTTTTTATCATTTCTCCCAATGAACAAAATCTATACATAATAAATGTACAGTTAATTTCTATTTCTTGGTAATCACTCTACGCGAGGAAAAATGGATTCTCCTTTCCTCCAATGGATAAACTTTTGCAAAATTTGAAATGGTGTATGTGGTCCTTATACACTGCTATATTATTACCTTTGTTAAAATTGCCTTAAACAAGGGAGTGTTAATGAAATCCCTGTGCAGCAAAATAAAACGGAAAATTCAAATATGTGTCAATATTGCTAGGGAAGAAGTGTTCTCCTTGTGACTGCAAAATATTTAAAAAGGGATTGGCAAGTCGTTGCTTCTGCTTCCTTTATGGGGAATAAATGTTCATTACGGATTTGCAATACATCTCTACACACACATTATGAACATTTTATTCACTTTATCTGCACCTTTTTTGTGGTTACAGCTGTTGCTTGTGCAGTTTTTACTTAACGGAGTGTATGCCCCATGTAGTCTCCTTAAACTGGGTTCATTAAACAAATAATCTCTTTTTGCGTATGTTGCGATGAGGATTAATATAGGACGGATGCAAAATGTACACAGCCCATGAAGTCGCAACAGGCTACATAATTAAGTAGTTTCTTAACCAAATTAAAAAAAAAGAAAAAAAATACGTAATTTTCTCAGTGTGGTGAACGTGTGCATAGGACCTCCCCCCTTAGGGGGTCACGCCGTTAATTATTTATGTTGGGTCTTTAAGAAGGTTTACTCATTTTTATCTCAGTTTCGTAACCATTTAGTGTTTCACTTTTTTCACCCCTCCGATGATATCCACCTCCCAAACGTTTGGTGGTTCCTCTTTTTTCTATACGGGGGTTAGTCAAAATTTGTCCTATGGGAAAATAAATAAATTTCCTCTTTATTAGACGTGTGAACAATGAGATATGAAAAATGAAGGAAGGCAAACAAAAAGAAGGAAAAAAATACTTTCATCCATAGAAATATGTAAAAACGTATCCACCTTAAAATGGAAAGGGAACATGTTCGATGATGTCACGAACGATATTTATGATGAAGCCCCTGATTGAGCTAGATAATTTTTCCCCCATTTTAACAATTTTGATGGCAACATGGATGAAAATTTACCTCCTCTATATGCATAATTTTATTCGAAGTTGCACAAATAAAAAAAAGAATCAACTCAAAAGCATTTCACTACATCAGCGGAAAGAGCGAAGTCTTGCCCTTTTGTTTCCATTTTTGAATTTTAAGAAAAGGTCTCCTTAAAATACAGAAGCATTTATAAATTTTTGTGGACATTCCTGAAAGAGTTCGACTGCTCAATTGCTGGACTACTAAATTAAATGATTGACAACTTTTTAAATTTTATGACAAAAAGCGATAATTACTCTTTTTTTTTTGAGAGATCCTCGCCGAAAAAATCGGAAAAAATAGAAACACCAAAGCCCTGGGAACATTTCTGTAAGCCGTAGGTTTAAAACAGTTTCCTACAAAAGTAAGTACATTAAAATGTTTGCTTAACAGCCTGCTTCACTGTTTTGACATGCTGCGCGTAATTTGGGAATGCCCCCAATTTATGAGAATTACGTAAAAGTGCTTTTCTTTGTGTATCACCTTTTCGCCATGGCTGGAAAATATTAAATAGCAGAAAACAACTTGACTGTGAGAAAAATACGCCTTAAAGATGCGTCAAAAAATTGGTCAAAGAAATCGTCAGAGAAGTGGTCAAAGAATTGTATATCTCCGTTAATCTATCTGACGATAACCATTTAAAATGTGGTAAATTTGTGTAGCATAATGATTCTTCATTTTTGCGTGCGTTTTTTTTTTTTCTTTTGCAGACTCATAGAATAATTCTGCCGTACAGGATATTTTTACCCATTTATAATTTCAGAGTAATAAGTGTTAATCTTTTTGAGAAAAGTTAACTTACATCACAGATCTGTAGACACCTTCTTTTAAAAGATATATATCCATGAGGCGAGTTAAGAAGGCGAATTATGCGTACTGCACGGTTTCACGCGGAACGATAGAAAAGGACTCTCAGTGCAATGATCAATGAACCTGTATAGTCAACACGAAGGATATTGATAAATGAATGTATCCATATTTATGGACCCTATAGCTGCCCCTTCACAGTGTTATGAACATTTGCTGAATCATTTTCCTTCTTATTTTATTATACCGTTCTGTTGAAGTTCCAACTTTGTCGACATAGTAACTTATACATCCCGTTCGCGACAAAAAGACCTATGTTGCCTGAATCGGGGGGAAGGAAAAGAAATATTGATGATATTTAAAAATTTTTCTTTCGTATTAGATGTTAAAAATCCAAGCACTGCATTCAGAAAATTTGAGCATTTCGTCCCATCCTGCACATGAAGTACTATCAAGTGACCATCAATTTTTAAATGATATTTCGACTACCTCTAATACAACCCCCTTTGTTAATCCTATTCGCCCTGATGATTATATTTTTTATACATTACTTTATATATACATACTTCTAGCATTTTGTATTTTA